TCTGCCGTGCCACCGATTACCGGGGGGGGGGGGGGGGGGGCACTGTAGTAATGGTCTCGGGTGATATAATCCACATATGTGGGGGTCACCACCAGTGCGCTTGATGGTCAAGCACGGGCTGAAGCCACCATCAGCATCTATGGAGGTCACCGTCAACGCGTGTGGTGATTGCCTTTGGCATTTGTGGAATTCACCGTCAGCATCTGTAGAGACATCCGTCAACATGTGAGGACGTCATCGCCGGCATGTGTGGAGGCCACCGCCACCGCATGTGAAGGTCACTGCCACCACGTTCTCGAGGTCTCTGTCAGCACGTGTAGAGGCCGTTCGCCGTTGATGCATGTGGAGGTCACCACCAGCACGCGTGTATGGTGGAGGGGGAGGGGCGCGGCGGTCGCCGTCAGTCCGTGTGGAGATCACCATCCACGTGTCTGGCTGCGCCGTCAGCACGTCCGAGAGCTGATGTTCTTTGACGCCCCTCAGCGATGCTCGGACTCATCGGGCCGGATGGCAGTCGTGCGATCCCATCCGCGTGCTCGGCTTCACAGAGGAGGCCACATCTCCGGCGCGACCGGCGCCTGCACTCTGCGACACCCTGGCGTCTGGCGGGCGGGTCAGATTAGGTCAAGGCCAGAGGCCTGCGATGGCACGCGCGGCACGCCGCCTCCCTGGCGCCGCTGAGGGGCGGCGCGTGCACGCCGCTGCACTGAAGGCTTATCTGCATAGCAATGCTCACAACAAGCGGCTTGCCCAACCCGAGTGAAAGACCAAGTTCAAGAGCAGGCACGGAGCGCGGCGCGGCGCGGCGCCTTGTGCAACCGTCGCCCCCCGATCGTCGCTCAACCTGCACCAGGCCGGCGCCGGGACGGCCGTCGGCGGCAGGCGGCTCCCTCGGCGTCGGGCAAACTCTGCTGACAGTGGAGCTTCACCCGGCTTGCGGCGTTGCAGGCGCCACTGGAGAGGTGCCGTGTGGCGCGTGGCCGGACTGGGTGCGGGCTCCGGACCCCGGGCTGCTCGGCACGGACTGGCATCCCCATCACACAAACGGCTGGATAGCAGGGGAGTGCCGGATTAGATGCAGTGCGGTTGCCTTGCATTTGGTGGGTATATGAAAGGGAGATATTTATACACTAGACCATGACGTGGTCGAAAAGTCCCCGCCATAACATGTTCGTGCCGATGAACTTTGGTCCGTTGACACTGAGCCCGCGCGCCAGAGAATGGGTCGCCCTTCCCGACCGTTATATTTGCTGGTCATCCAGCAACTGATCGTCGAAGGTGAGCTGGGTAGGAATCCCGTGTGACAGCATTATGGGCCACTAAGACTTTCCACGAGACTAGCCGGACGAACTGAAAGATTTCAGAATTTGCACTTCAAGTGGAGGCGAATCTCCTGGGACTGGTTTCGTAAAACGAAACAGACAACGCACTCACTTCTAAATATCACCGCACATTCATACGGCCAAACAGGTGGACTGCCCTGAGTGAAGTTTGGATGCGTGAGTGGGCTGGGTATAGCACATGACAATGAAACTATGCAGTGTTTAACGTGTTCAACGGAGTGTGTCGACTTTAGGTTCTGTAGTCTGGGACAGGGCTCCCTTGTCGGTTATCAAGTATATCAAGCAACAAACTCCGGGAGGCAATGGCCTGAACCCAGAGTTCAAACCCAAAATTTAAACAAGGTAGATCGAGTGAAAGCTCTGGAAGTATTGGTCGTAATCACCAGTGGCCGTGTTTACCGCCTTTGCGCCTCCCTTTTTTGTTGTGGCCAGTAGGGTTCCAAGGATTTCATGAAGCTCACCGAGAAACCTCTGCGCATCAAGAGGCTTAATGTATGACGAAGGCGTTTGTGGGTACAACCACTGGTGACCGAGGGGATCCCAGCCGACTTCTCGACAAGTTCGTCGATACTCGATGGTCAATCGCGACCACCGTTGTTAACGATACTACGAAACATTGATTTCTTGCGAAACATGAATGCTTATTTGAGCCGATCATTACGCTTGTGCCTCCTCAGTACATATCCAAGAGGGCCGGGTGAACTTGGATGGTAACATACGACCACTTTTCTCTACAGATGCTACGGTCTGCAGGAAGTGACCCACGCTGCACAGGATTGCCGAACAAAGCATTCTGGTCTGTTGTTGTAAAGATGACATGCTTTTCCGAGAACCCTGACTTTACATCCGTGATGGCCTGTTCACATCAAGGGCGAAAAAGTTGAAGAACAACGACAGCGTCCAGGACTCTGCACGAGTGTTGCACGTACCTCCAGACTGCACGTGGCGCCTGGAGTAGTTGCTACCTCTCGGTAGCTCCGTGTATGACTGCACACAGCGGAGCGACAACGCCCGGCGTGGCGCGGACGCCCGGCCGCTCACTGCGCCCTCCTCGGCAGGTCCGGGTCTCATCGTCTACGTGGAGCCGCCGCCGGTGACAGTGACTGTCGACCAGCAGGAGATGGAGAAGGCGGCGCGCTTCGGCGCCTCCTCGCAGCAGCGCCGTCGCCAGCAGGACATCGAGCTCATCCGCAACGACATAGTGGTGTCGCCCACCGAGCCGGCTTTCAGCCACCGCAAGCTGCAGCAGCCCACGCGGACGGCGCTGAAGAAGATGGGCTCGGCCGAGATCGCCCTCTCTGCCAGCAAGATGATCGCCATGGAGTGAGTACTGAAGAGGGGTCAGAGGCGGGCGGAGATGGTCGCCATGGAGTGAGTACTGAAGAGGGGTCAGAGGCGGGCGGAGATGATCGCCATAGTTTTAGAACGAAGTACCCGTGGAAAAGTACGTATGCATAAAGTACTACACAATTGCTCTTGAGCGGATGTACCTAAGGTAAAAAGCTCGTATGGCGGAAGAACGTACGCAAAAGCTCGTAAGCAAACATCTATGCGGTATAAAGTAAGTACTTATGTAAAAAGTTCGTAATGACAAGTTCGTCAGGACAGAAGTTCGCTTGGAAAAAATACACATGCATGAAGAACGAACGCTATTGCTCGTAAACAACTGAACGTACGCGAAGGCTCGTAATGGATAAAGCCGGTTCGGATAAAAGTGCGTACGCGAATGTTCGTGAGCAGTATAAACGTAGAAACTACGCGGTCCGCGGATGAACTTCCAATTTCTGAGAGTGCTGAACACGCCTACATACCATGGCCATACACAGAGACTGGACATATCGGTTACCAGGACACCAAGTCACGCACCGTCAGCTCTTAAATGTCGCTGACGTTTGGTTTCCAGGGTTAAACTTAGCCATGAATTTGAGTGAGCAATTTCTAGGTCCATGCGGCGTACAATTTAAAAGCCATGCTGTCGGACAATGCCTGGTCGGGCGCAAACAAAGCCATAAACATAGGTTTTGATCTTGCATCAAAGCGGGTCCAGCTGTTGCATTATTATCTCTGAATTCCGATTCACCTTCTGTGAGCAATGGTATACCGGTGATTTTGCAACGGGGTATGTGGCGGTAGTAGTCGGACTCACAAGTCGGTAGCCTTGAACGCGGTGTGGCAGAGGTTAGGGGCGGCTTCGCTTAACGGACCGGTATGGCTTATTTTGAGGTTATG